ACAAGCACGTCCACTCTGGTCAGTACACATGGCAGTCCTCTCTAGTAAGTACACAATCACGCACTCTCTAATCAGTACATAACCACGTCCCGTGTGGTCAATACACACGACACTCCTCTCCAGTCAGTACACAAACTCGTCCTCTCTAGTCGGTACACATGGCAGTCCTCTCTAGTAAGTACACAACCACGTCCCCTATCGCCAGTACGCAAGACAGTCCTCTCTTGTACTCTCAGTACTCAAACGTTTCCTTCCAGTACATGTCCTCTCTAGTCAACACAAGGCAGTTCTTTCCAGTCAACACACAACCACGTCCTCTCTAGTTAGTACACAAGCACGCCCCCTCTAGTCAGTATACAAGTACGTCCTCTCTAGGCAACAAACAAGCACGTCCTCCCTAGTTTGTACACAAGCACGTCCCCTCCAGTCAGTACACAAGCACGTCCTCTCTGGGCAACACACAAGCACGTCCTCTCTAGTCAGTATACAAGCACGTCCTCTCTGGGCAACACACAAGCACGTCCTCTCTGGTCAGCACACAAGCACGTCCTCTCTGGGCAACACACAAGCACGTCCTCTCTGGTCAGCACACAAGCACGTCCCCTCTAGTACGTGCACAAGGACGTCCTCTCTAGTCAACAAACAAGCATATTTTTTCGTCAGCATGCATTGGTCATGACGTCCTCTCTGGTCAGCACACAAGCATATTCTTTCATCAGCATGCAATTGTCATGACGTCCTCTCTGGTCAGTACACAAGGACACGTTCACTCTTATTAAATGTCACATGGAACCATCACAATTTAGTGATTCATGATGAAGGTAACACCAAACATTTTAATAGATGTATTAGTATTCTAACAACCAGCCAGGGCAGGACTTGTACATAATTTTGATAGCATGGACTATTTGGTCCAGCCTCTTCACTCTGACGTGTAACATCATCACAGGGTTGACGTGTGATATTTCAGGTTTTAAAAACTCGCAAATTCGCAATGTGATCACGAGATAACCCCACCCCATTCCAGGATGTGATGCCTTAGGATATTACCACATGACCTTATGACTCAAAAACCAGATAACTGGACTGAAGAAGATACGCCAGATATTGCAGGTATAATATAGTTGATTGACGAAGATAGAGACATTTCCAGATTGGTTTTAGAATCTACAAAGATTTGTATGGTGTATATACACTCGTAACAGCAGCGAGAAAGATTGCAACAGTCTACTCACTTTCAAACGAGACATGAATACATTTGAATTGGTTGAAAAGAAGTGATAGTGCATATATTCTGTAGTATACATTGCATTGTTACCAAACACAGTTGTCCCCGGACATGGGTGTTACCAATAGAGTGTTCTCCACGTCAAGACGCGTAAGTTGTGTGGAATTGTATATCGGCTCGCGCAGATCATGTGGTCTATTATCAGTCTGTATCAACCACCCATGGATTTGTTCAAAGTGAATTTCGGTAGGGCATATACTTCCCCCGTTATTTGGGACAAACTATAATGGCTATCATTTCATCATTAATTATGAATTGTGATTCATTCTAGACGCGTGGTCTCAATGTCGATGTTTGTGTCAGGAGAGCTTGGTCCCTGAAGAATAAAACAATACAAATATATAGTGTCATCAACATGTCTCCTATTTTATCTTGTGTGTATTCCTCTCAGACGTTCTATTTCGTGTTTACTATGTAGATATATATATAACTATTTGAAGATATATTTGATATTTCATGTTCTTACACACCCGTTTGAGATAACTGGTATCAAACATACATGTACACTCTTCACAAAATGTAACGCACAGGTAGTATATAATTCATTGAACGTGACTACACAAAAATTCGGTATATAAATTGGATATACGTTTTTGGAAAATGTTAGTGGCCTGATATTCGACAAACGGTGCATCAAAACGCAGCCATTTTCGATTTGCAATGTCTTAAACGGCATTGTTTTGACACTTGTTCAAAAATGTCATAGAGAAAAACAGCCAAGCGAAACACACGTGCAAGTTATGGCATTCGTAACTCGTGGTAGTGGCTAAAAAAGGCAAGCATAAACCAATAATTTGTCATTCAAATGTCAACATTTTTCAAGTTCGAAAATGCCTACACACAGCACTGCCGATCGGAACATCGCCATAGGACATATCCGCCTTTGGGATCGATACACACAGTTCAATTCCACTGCAGACAGTCCGAGAACCGGACGACCCTGCACAGGATCACAACATTCGACTGTTCCACCTACAATGTACGTCATCGCAATGCCACAGCTACGGAGACTGCAGGACGCATCCTTGGTTTAAGGAGGATCTCGGACCAGACTGTCAGGAACCATCTTCACGAGGCTGGAATCTGGAATCCCACCCAGAAGACCAGTTATCGTTCCTGTTTTGCAACAGATCCATCGACAGAGACGCTTACGTTGGTGCCATACCTTATAGCCTTGGAATTTGAGAAACTGGAGACGAGTGTTGTTTAGCGATGAATCACGATTTCTTCTTCACCGGCGAGATGGAAGACAACGTGTTTATCGTCATCGAAATGAGCGTTTTGCCCCACATTGTGTACGTTAATTCGACAATTTCGTTGGCGATAGTGTCATGGTGTGGGGGCCATATCCTACACCACGAGATCTGACTTGGTTGTGGTTCAGGGAAACCTGACAGCAACCGATACATGAATAAAATTCTTCAACCTCACCTTCTTCCAATCATTGCCCGCCAGAGGGAGCTGTTTCAACAGGACAACGCTCCGCCGCACACGGCTCGTGTCACGGTAAACTACCTACATAATGCAAACACCAACGCCTTGCCCTGGCTGTCGAGATCTCCAGGGGCGGTCACACGTGATACTGAGTTCAGCGTAACCCTGTGGCCTTATGTGACATGACAAGGAACAGTTTTCAATGCATATGTACAACGACAACATGTGACTATCGAGCTACAAAAAAATTATATTTGTATATATGATACTACATTAAATACATCGACTTTATTAGGTACAATACATTTACTAAAAATCTACCTGTGCGTTTCTTTTTTCGAAGAGTGTATAAGTACGATCGAATTCCAGGACCGTGATTGACTGGTCCATGGTGATGACCTAAGGTAAGATAATGACGGACTACTTTCCTGATCGTAAATCATTGATACGTTACTGGTGCTTCAGTCAAATGTTCACCTACGTCTGTATTGACCGTTATGGTTTTAGAGTGTTAGCCCCCTAATTGCCACAGGTACATATGTGTCCTCACCTTCAACCCAACTCTTCAATTGTGAATTACAAATAAATACTCTACAATGCAAACACAAACTCGCGCATAACGGCAACAGGATTTATTTGCATTTCCTACGCTGTCTCTATGTTACAATGGAAAACAAAAGCGTGATTAACAATACAGAAATTGTCAGATTCATTTATGTATAAACCAACGAATCAACGAAATATAATATGGCAGTAAAACCCGAGGGATGCAGGTCGTTCACGTGTTCCACCTTATTTAAACCCACGTGTACGTACATAATGCTGACAAACCAAACATCATAAGATGGGCGAATCTGGGATCAACACTCACGACGATCGATAGTGGTTCCTGGCATGAACTAGGAGACTGACTCTGAAGCAGCAAAATTGTGGTGACGGGGATATCTGATCTCATGCACTGATTGTGTTTAAAAGTCAGTGTGCGGCCTGCCCACATTGCGAGTGATGCCTGTGTCTTCTATATAATTCACTTCCTGTGTGACAACAGTGAGGAAACGAACGGGCAATAAATAATCAACAGTTACTGTGAGAAAGCGGATGTGATAAGTGAGACAGGTTTAGTATTCACTATGCATATTGTAAGCAGTGTTGAAGTGTACACATTTGATAACGAACACCCGACCACGTCTATCACAACATAGCGATCGCTGAAAGTGTCATGGTTAAATCCGCAAAATTACTGACGTTAATCGTTTTACACGACTTGTATATTATTTTGAAAGCATGGACTATTTGGTGTACCCTTGATACACATCAAGAAATCTATCTCTGATATATTGCCTCTGTTAAGTTACAAGATGTTGTCCTCATGGTACATGTATGTACTGCTGCTAGTGTTACTGTTGTTAGCCGATATATACGTCTGAGACAGGCGTCTGTCCTGATATTACACGTGTCTCCCCATGTCACTGTCTATGTCTTGTATAATACAATGTACTGTTTAATTAAGTCAACTGTCGTAGAGGTACACACGACTACATTGACTGTCTCTGTTATAATAGTCTGACAGGTAGTTGTACATGTCCCCATGTCACATGCAGACACCGGTGTCAGTGTCATTTTAGGATATAATACTTCTGTTACAACTTCCCTGATGTTACATAAAAGCTACCAGTGGCACTGACTGACGAAATGTGATATATACTTCTGTTTCAGTTGCCATTATATTACATATGGCAACACAGTGTCTATCTTTGATATAATACTTCTGTAACAGGCAGTTGTCCCGGTGGTATATGCAGATACCAGTATCAGTGTCTTTTTACGATATCATACTTTTGCTAAAACTGCCCCGATGTTACATATAGTTACCAGTATCCCTGTCTTTTCCTGACAAAATGCTTCTGTTAAAGGCGGCTGTCTTGACAGTAAACTTGCCTACCAGTGTCACTGTTTATTTCTGACATAATGCTTCTGTTACAAGCAGCTGTCCTAACATTGCATATGGCCACAAGAGTCACTTTCTATTCCTAATAAAACTGTTTCTGTTACAACTGTCCTGACAGTACATACGGCTGTCAGTGTCACTGCCCTTGCTATTCTGCTGTTGTTACAACTGTCCTGGCGGTACATTTGGATACCCACGTCACTGTCAACCTATGGTATAATGTCTATATATTACAAGCAGCTGCCTTGATGATACATACTTCTGTCAGTGTCACTGTCTATCTATGATATAATGCATATTTTACAGGCAAGTGCCCTGGTAATACATACGGCTACCAGTGTAGTTACAACTGCAACTGTCCCAACGTCACGTGTGATTCTAGAGATGGGTGTCGAAATCAGACCTGCAACAGAGGGTGGTCAGGACCGACATGCCAGAAATGTAAAGTAACAAATTTTGTATTTCAGTGAACGTGTGTCTCTAAATCAGCGTAAGACTATCAGAGTGGTAAAGCTAATTCTTATCTGCAAATTGTCAAAAGTATTACATATACATGAACTCGATAACGAAATACAGAATCGTTGCGTTCTTCGGATGTTCATATCGTCATTTCAATACATTCCCTCCTTTGAAATATTTTTTAATCCCTAAATAATATTCTGATCGTATCAAAATCCGTGCCTTTATTATTTGAAGCTATCTCGCTTTGAGGCTTTAACGGTAACGAGTTTACCATTCATATCGGATAAACGTCAGTGCAAGGACTTTTATAATGACAGTGACTATAACGGTGTATCAGTTTCATGTGAGAAGAATGCCCGAAGTGATACTTTGGTGCACAGGTATGGTTCTGTTAAGCCATAAATCGTCAGGGCGAATATGGGAGTCACACCCACGATCACCGGATACTTGCAGGTCTCGAGGACATCCTTCTACACAATAGTAGTTACAGCGCCTTACACGTCTGTGTACAATTTCTTACTCCGTCTGTGCACATGTACAATTTCCAAAAAAAAACAAGCTAAGTGTAGATCAGCATATAACATGTGTCACAGCACCTTTGACTGTCATCTGAAGGTGTGATACTCTATTTCCGAACATGAACAGTTTTACACTTTTTCTGTTGTGAAACTAAGTTGCAAATGGACCTATGGTTGTCTTTACATTATATATTATGACAGATAACAAAGCACTCGGTAAACCAACAAACGCCAGTAGCATCTACATGCCATCACTAAATGCTGTAGATGGTAACACCAGTGCGCAAGACCATCGCTACTGCTTTCATTCAGCCTTCAATGACGCTAATATAACAGTTGCGTGGTGGAGAGTGGATCTGAGTAAGATGACACAAGTTCATGACGTCACCATATACTTCAGGACAGACCGTGAGTTGGCTACATCCTACTGTAAAGACTAGTTTATTTCTCCCCATGACGTCACCATATACTTCAGGAGAGACCGTGAGTCGTTTACATCCTACTGTAAATACTAGTTTATTTCTCCCCATGACGTCACCATATACTTCAGGACAGACCGTGAGTTGGCTACATCCTACTGTAAAGACTAGTTTATTTCTCCCCATGACGTCACCATATACTTCAGGACAGACCGTGAGTCGTTTACATCCTACTGTATAGACTAGTTTATTTCTCCCCATGACGTCACCATATACTTCAGGACAGACCGTGAGTTGGCTACATCCTACTGTAAAGACTAGTTTATTTCTCCCCATGACGTCACCATATACTTCAGGACAGACCGTGAGTCGTTTACATCCTACTGTAAAGACTAGTTTATTTCTCCCCATGACGTCACCATGTACTTCAGGACAGACCGTGAGTCGTTTACATCCTACTGTAAAGACTAGTTTATTTCTACCCATGACGTCACCATATACTTCAGGACAGACAATGTGTTGGTTACATCCTACTGTAAAGACTAGTTTATTTCTCCCCATGACGTCACCATATACTTCAGGACAGACCGTGAGTCGTTTACATCCTACTGTAAAGACTAGTTTATTTCTCCCCATGACGTCACCATGTACTTCAGGACAGACCGTGAGTCGTTTACATCCTACTGTATAGACTAGTTTATTTCTCCCCATGACGTCACCATATACTTCAGGACAGACCGTGAGTCGTTTACATCCTACTGTAAAGACTAGTTTATTTCTCCCCATGACGTCACCATATACTTCAGGACAGACCGTGAGTCGTTTACATCCTACTGTAAAGACTAGTTTATTTCTACCCATGACGTCACCATATACTTCAGGACAGACTGTGAGTCGTTTACATCCTACTGTATAGACTAGTTTATTTCTCCCCATGACGTCACCATATACTTCAGGACAGACCGTGAGTCGTTTACATCCTACTGTATAGACTAGTTTATTTCTCCCCATGACGTCACCATATACTTCAGGACAGACCGTGAGTCGTTTACATCCTACTGTAAAGACTAGTTTATTTCTCCCCGTGACGTCACCATATAGTTCAAGACAGACCGTGAGTTGGCTACATCCTACTGTTAAGACTAGTTTATTTCTCCCCATGACGTCACCATATACTTCAGGACAGACCGTGAGTCGTTTACATCCTACTGTAAAGACTAGTTTATTTCTCCCCATGACGTCACCATGTACTTCAGGACAGACCGTGAGTTGGCTATATCCTACTCTAAAGACTAGTTTATTTCTCCCCATGACGTCACCATATACTTCAGGACAGACAGTGTGTTGGTTACATCCTACTGTAAAGACTAGTTTATTTCTTCCCATGACGTCACCATATACTTCAGGACAGACAATGTGTTGGTTACATCCTACTGTAAAGACTAGTTTATTTCTCCCCATGACGTCACCATGTACTTCAGGACAGACAGTGTGTTGGTTACATCCTACTGTAAAGACTAGTTTATTTCTCCCCATGACGTCACCATATACTTCAGGACAGACAATGTGTTGGTTACATCCTACTGTAAAGACTAGTTTATTTCTTCCCATGACGTCACCATATACTTCAGGACAGACCGTGAGTTGGCTACATCCTACTGTAAAGACTAGTTTATTTCTCCCCATGACGTCACCATATACTTCAGGACAGACCGTGAGTCGTTTACATCCTACTGTAAAGACTAGTTTATTTCTCCCCATGACGTCACCATATACTTCAGGAGAGACCGTGAGTCGTTTACATCCTACTGTAAAGACTAGTTTATTTCTCCCCATGACGTCACCATATACTTCAGGACAGACAATGTGTTGGTTACATCCTACTGTAAAGACTAGTTTATTTCTACCCATGACGTCACCATATACTTCAGGAGAGACCGTGAGTCGTTTACATCCAACTGTAAAGACTAGTTTATTTCTTCCCATGACGTCCCCATATACTTCAGGAGAGACCGTGAGTCGTTTACATCCTACTGTAAAGACTAGTTTATTTCTCCCCATGACGTCACCATGTACTTCAGGACAGACCGTGAGTTGGCTACATCCTACTGTAAAGACTAGTTTATTTCTACCCATGACGTCACCATATACTTCAGGAGAGACCGTGAGTCGTTTACATCCAACTGTAAAGACTAGTTTATTTCTTCCCATGACGTCCCCATATACTTCAGGAGAGACCGTGAGTCGTTTACATCCTACTGTAAAGACTAGTTTATTTCTCCCCATGACGTCACCATGTACTTCAGGACAGACCGTGAGTTGGCTACATCCTACTGTAAAGACTAGTTTATTTCTCCCCATGACGTCACCATATACTTCAGGACAGACCGTGAGTCGTTTACATCCTACTGTAAAGACTAGTTTATTTCTCCCCATGACGTCACCATATACTTCAGGAGAGACCGTGAGTCGTTTACATCCTACTGTAAAGACTAGTTTATTTCTCCCCATGACGTCACCATATACTTCAGGACAGACAATGTGTTGGTTACATCCTACTGTAAAGACTAGTTTATTTCTACCCATGACGTCACCATATACTTCAGGACAGACCGTGAGTTGGCTACATCCTACTGTAAAGACTAGTTTATTTCTCCCCATGACGTCACCATATACTTCAGGACAGACCGTGAGTCGTTTACATCCTACTGTAAAGACTAGTTTATTTCTCCCCATGACGTCACCATATACTTCAGGACAGACAGTGTGTTGGTTACATCCTACTGTAAAGACTAGTTTATTTCTACCCATGACGTCACCATATACTTCAGGACAGACAGTGAGTTGGTTACATCCTACTGTAAAGACTAGTTTATTTCTACCCATGACGTCACCATATACTTCAGGACAGACAGTGAGTTGGCTACATCCTACTGTATAGACTAGTTTATTTCTCCCCATGACGTCACCATATACTTCAGGAGAGACCGTGAGTTGGCTACATCCTACTGTAAAGACTAGTTTATTTCTCCCCATGACGTCACCATATACTTCAGGACAGACCGTGAGTCGTTTACATCCTACTGTAAAGACTAGTTTATTTCTACCCATGACGTCACCATATACTTCAGGACAGACAGTGAGTTGGCTACATCCTACTGTATAGACTAGTTTATTTCTCCCCATGACGTCACCATATACTTCAGGACAGACCGTGAGTCGTTTACATCCTACTGTAAATACTAGTTTATTTCTACCCATAACGTCACCATATACTTCAGGACAGACAGTGAGTTGGCTACATCCTACTGTATAGACTAGTTTATTTCTACCCATGACGTCACCATATACTTCAGGACAGACAATGTGTTGGTTACATCCTACTGTAAAGACTAGTTTATTTCTACCCATGACGTCACCATATACTTCAGGACAGACAATGTGTTGGTTACATCCTACTGTAAAGACTAGTTTATTTCTCCCCATGACGTCACCATATACTTCAGGACAGACCGTGAGTCGTTTACATCCTACTGTAAAGACTAGTTTATTTCTCCCCATGACGTCACCATATACTTCAGGACAGACAGTGTGTTGGCTACATCCTACTGTATAGACTAGTTTATTTCTACCCATGACGTCACCATATACTTCAGGACAGACCGTGAGTCGTTTACATCCTACTGTAAAGACTAGTTTATTTCTCCCCATGACGTCACCATATACTTCAGGACAGACAGTGTGTTGGCTACATCCTACTGTAAAGACTAGTTTATTTCTACCCATGACGTCACCATATACTTCAGGACAGACCGTGAGTTGGCTACATCCTACTGTATAGACTAGTTTATTTCTCCCCATGACGTCACCATATACTTCAGGACAGACCGTGAGTCGTTTACATCCTACTGTAAAGACTAGTTTATTTCTCCCCATGACGTCACCATATACTTCAGGACAGACAGTGAGTTGGCTACATCCTACTGTAAAGACTAGTTTATTTCTCCCCATGACGTCACCATATACTTCAGGACAGACCGTGAGTCGTTTACATCCTACTGTAAAGACTAGTTTTTTTCTACCCATGACGTCACCATATACTTCAGGACAGACCGTGAGTCGTTTACATCCTACTGTAAAGACTAGTTTATTTCTCCCCATGACGTCACCATATACTTCAGGACAGACCGTGAGTCGTTTACATCCTACTGTAAAGACTAGTTTATTTCTCCCCATGACGTCACCATATACTTCAGGACAGACAGTGAGTTGGCTACATCCTACTGTATAGACTAGTTTATTTCTACCCATGACGTCACCATATACTTCAGGACAGACCGTGAGTCGTTTACATCCTACTGTAAAGACTAGTTTATTTCTCCCCATGACGTCACCATATACTTCAGGACAGACAGTGAGTTGGCTACATCCTACTGTAAAGACTAGTTTATTTCTACCCATGACGTCACCATATACTTCAGGACAGACAATGTGTTGGTTACATCCTACTGTAAAGACTAGTTTATTTCTCCCCATGACGTCACCATATACTTCAGGACAGACAGTGAGTTGGCTACATCCTACTGTATAGACTAGTTTATTTCTCCCCATGACGTCACCATATACTTCAGGACAGACAATGTGTTGGTTACATCCTACTGTAAAGACTAGTTTATTTCTACCCATGACGTCACCATATACTTCAGGACAGACTGTGAGTCGTTTACATCCTACTGTAAAGACTAGTTTATTTCTCCCCATGACGTCACCATGTACTTCAGGACAGACCGTGAGTCGTTTACATCCTACTGTAAAGACTAGTTTATTTCTACCCATGACGTCACCATATACTTCAGGACAGACAATGTGTTGGTTACATCCTACTGTAAAGACTAGTTTATTTCTCCCCATGACGTCACCATATACTTCAGGACAGACCGTGAGTTGGCTACATCCTACTGTAAAGACTAGTTTATTTCTCCCCATGACGTCACCATATACTTCAGGACAGACCGTGAGTCGTTTACATCCTACTGTATAGACTAGTTTATTTCTACCCATGACGTCACCATATACTTCAGGACAGACAATGTGTTGGTTACATCCTACTGTAAAGACTAGTTTATTTCTCCCCATGACGTCACCATATACTTCAGGACAGACCGTGAGTCGTTTACATCCTACTGTAAAGACTAGTTTATTTCTACCCATGACGTCACCATATACTTCAGGAGAGACCGTGAGTCGTTTACATCCTACTGTAAAGACTAGTTTATTTCTCCCCATGACGTCACCATATACTTCAGGACAGACCGTGAGTTGGCTACATCCTACTGTAAAGACTAGTTTATTTCTCCCCGTGACGTCACCATATACTTCAGGACAGACCGTGAGTCGTTTACATCCTACTGTAAAGACTAGTTTATTTCTACCCATGACGTCACCATATACTTCAGGACAGACAATGTGTTGGTTACATCCTACTGTAAAGACTAGTTTATTTCTCCCCATGACGTCACCATATACTTCAGGACAGACCGTGAGTCGTTTACATCCTACTGTAAAGACTAGTTTATTTCTACCCATGACGTCACCATATACTTCAGGAGAGACCGTGAGTCGTTTACATCCTACTGTAAAGACTAGTTTATTTCTCCCCATGACGTCACCATATACTTCAGGACAGACCGTGAGTCGTTTACATCCTACTGTATAGACTAGTTTATTTCTACCCATGACGTCACCATATACTTCAGGACAGACAATGTGTTGGTTACATCCTACTGTAAAGACTAGTTTATTTCTCCCCATGACGTCACCATATACTTCAGGACAGACCGTGAGTCGTTTACATCCTACTGTAAAGACTAGTTTATTTCTACCCATGACGTCACCATATACTTCAGGAGAGACCGTGAGTCGTTTACATCCAACTGTAAAGACTAGTTTATTTCTACCCATGACGTCACCATATACTTCAGGAGAGACCGTGAGTCGTTTACATCCAACTGTAAAGACTAGTTTATTTCTTCTTTATGAAGTCACATAAAGACAATAACCACTACTGTGCAGTTTATGCCAAAACAACGTCAACCTGTTTCAAACGACTTGAAACTTAGACCTTGTCTTGGGGTTGTCGAATCTAGAAAGGTGGCGTTTGCTCAGTTCTGAGACTAGTCTACATTTGTTCACGGGTTCAGTATTGTACACTGGCATCCATGAAACTTACTTCGTAAGGATTTCCAAAGATTAGAAATTGTGAACATCTGTCTTACTTGTTATTTGACAAAATATGTAGGAAAGAGTAATTATGCAACGGTTGGAAGTTGCAGGTATTATAAGGGTACACACACATAAGCCCCTCCTACCGATAGCCCATTCATATCTGTCGAGTGTGTTAGGTGTACTACAGCAATGCGTGGAGTAAAAACGCAATCGACTGACCATTATGTTTAAAAACAAGCCCAATGCCGCATCCCCAACTTTCAGAACCCCCATCCAACCACATATTTTATTATGTTGCCTGTTTATTGGTTTGTTTGTTGTTTAACGCCGCACTCAGCAATATTCCAGCTATATGACGGCGGTCTGTAAATAATCGAGTCTGGACCCGACAATCCAGTGATTGACATTATGAGCATCGACCTAGGCAATTGTGATACGATGACGTGTATCAACCATAGTCACCGAGCCTGACCATCAGATCCCGTTATAAAGTAGTCGCCTCTTACGACAAGCATCGTCGCCTTTTACGGCCAGCTTGGGTTGCTGAAGACCTATCTTACCCCGGATCTTCACGGGTCTATTTTATGATGGACAAAGATGTTGCTTATATATACATGTTTTAGGTATAAATCATATATGAGTGATCCTATTTTTACGAATACACATTTACTAATTAAGACACTTGTATTAATTGTGAAATGTAACAGATAAAGATCGTCGGAATGGTATCCAGATTTACATAGCCGATACTTTTGCAAACCCAACTGATGGGGTCAACTGCAACAACGTGACAGAGAAAGAGGACAGGACAGCCATACCTGGTGTTTTGGACGTCACGTGTTCTGGTAAAGGGCGCTATCTAGTGCTGTACACAACTGTAAAACACAGCCCAAAAAGAGTTCCTATTTTGGATTTCTGCGAAGTGCAGGTTGACGGTAGGAAACATGTTTGATATCATATATTACTCATCCCCCTCTACATATTTATCTTCTTTCCCTGCTGTTTAAACGTGTTCTGGTGAAGGGCGCTATCTAGTCCTGTACACCAGTACCATATTCAATGATATTATCAATGTCACTATACCCATACTGGATTTCTGTGAATTTAAGATAAAGGTAGGAATAATATCTGGCATGTACAATGTGGTATTAAACATGTCGTGTTTTCAATGTGCAGCAAGGATTTTACAAGGACATCTAGATCTGACGGTGCTCGCAGCGTGAGGTTTAACATGATGAAAGATTAAAATATAGTGAATAAAATAGGTTAGATGGCAAGGGGTGAATTTGAACATACATGTTGTTTGTCGCTGTTGTTTGTACTTTAATACTCTTTACTTTCCCCCATGAGAGGCAAGTAAAGGATATTCTAGGCTTCTGCATAAAGACTTAATTATGCATAAATTAATTATTACAAAAGAAAAATATAATGAATCACTTTCGACATGGCTTATAATTAGTTAAACATTTTATGAAATCACAACACTCATCACTAAAGCTCTTTATCCAATCATTTCAATCGCTGGCAGATTGAAATTTATATTGACTATTGTATTTGCTTTGGATTTGGTATTTACAACAACGAGACATATTGTAACCTACAAATATGCATATTATCATATTTTCAAATGTCGACGGACAATCATTGAAAGAAGTAATAACAGAATTTCCCAAATGGAGCGGCCGTTAAATTGGCTTTCGTAATCAGAGATGGTTAGTTAATTCATTATGCAGGTGGTATTCAAAACAGTTTTCTATTGTATTTTTTAAGACGAATACCTTTCCTTCAGAGTAACTAGGTCCACGGTTGTATTCAGTATTTGAATGTACAATGTACGTGTAATACAGTTCTTGCTGCACACTACTTTAACTTTCGGATACTGATTTTATTCATTTTAACAAACTGTTTCCGAAATGTGTCCTCACAAGACATTATATTGTATTTTATTAAGTAGTTTTGCATTCAATAATACAAGTGAGCGCAAAAGGGGAACAAAGAAGATGGGAAAGAAACTAATTACAAACCATTATTTCACAAATCATCATTTTACACATTTGTATTGTGTACTTTAATCTGTGCAGATGCGAGTACATGTGTATGGGTGAATGCTTTCATAGTAGGTAAAATGCATATCACCTTCGTGATAGTTTGCGGTCCTGGTACATTCGGCGCTGACTGTGACAACTACTGCCACTGTGACGGTGAGGTGTGCGACTACGTGAGCGGCGTCTGTCCGAGTGGAGGCTGTCTTTCAGGCTGGCAGCAAGACAAGTGTGACACAGGTTCCTATTTGATTTTGTGCTGATATTTTTCATCACGAATCAACGTTCAGCATCGTAAATTAATCTGTTTTGCAAATACCCCAAACTAATAATAAAAACAATCGAAGACACACAGCTCATTTGTAACTATATTAAAAACCTTCATGTTTTCAGAGTGTACTCCAGGCAATTATGGACCAAACTGTAGTCAGAAATGCTCTAATCGGAACTGCAAGACCGACAACTCTAGCTGTGTCCGCGTGACAGGGGAGTGTGTTGGGGGTTGCATGACAGGGTGGAATGGAACAGACTGTACACAGAGTGAGACCATAATGTACTTACAACAAATGATACCTGGCCTTACCTGCTGGAAATGCCTCAAGGTATCTCTTACACAAATTGATGCACCTAACCATAGGTTCAAGCTTGACTTTCTCAATGCACTCAAAAGGGTATAAATATATTTGACTAAATCTTAGTTCCTACGTGTTTAATGTCTGATACTAATGTATTTATAAACACGTTCCAGAATGCCTACTTACCTACGGAGACGGCTGTGCCAACCTGTGCTCTGACAGACACTGCAGTGGGACATTAACATGTGATCACGTAACCGGGAAGTGTGAATACGGCTGCAATCCCGGATGGAAGGAAGCTGACTGCACAACAGGTGAGATACCAATTTCAGTTTGGGAACACCTTCTAGTCATTGTGTTTAACAGTCTGAGTTAGTTTTTACTTCAAAAGAGAAATACATTCATACAGATTTACATGGTGTATATTCAGATTAGTTAGAACTTGGCATACCCCATTTCCAGGCATGGAACAGACATAGCGTTAATACATTCTTTAATCCAGCATCAATCAATGCCCATCAACTTCAATAAACTGCCGAAAGTAAGCTGACCGAACAGCAGGTTTAGGTTCACACTTTTCCCATCAAGTAATGACATTGTGTGTAAGCAGTCGTATCTAAATCAAGGCAGATAAAATGACAGTTTACTTGCAGAGTGCATCCAGGGCATAGAGTACGGATCTGGCTGTGTTGGTAACTGCAGTGCCCGGATGTGTGATGGCGGGACAGGCTCCTGTCCCAAGAAAACAGGCCAGTGTGATTCAGTCTGTCTATCAGGGTGGCAGGGAGAAGACTGCGCACAGAGTAAGATACACCAACTGTTATTGACAAACTTGCTCTACGTTTAGAATGAAATTAATGAATGTGTGGCTTGCCATGTTTTGTGTTACTAACGGACCTAAATTTAACTAACGGAGCGATTCAAATGGATCAGGTGGTCGGGCTGTGTGACTTGGTTGATTGCCTGTCATCCTACCCTCAGGACGTGGCACGTTTCTGACCTTCTTCACCACTGTTACTCTGATTTAGTCTCTATAATTTTACAAGTTGTTGATTTACAGCTGAAATATTCTTTACATGAGCCTGAAACAATATCCGATGGCTTCCTTTGCAAACAAATATCCCTATCTCTAAAGTAATTGTTAGCATGACGGCAGGACATCCCTGCAAAGTGTACGTAATAAATTACAAGTGATGCTAATTACATACATGGCTTATATATTATCTATTCACGCGTTCTGTTAAGTTTCATCGACCAGTCACAGGCCTAATGTGCACATCCCAATTTACTAATGCTTCAGAATGTAGAACCGGGTCATTCGGTGAAAACTGTACAGGAGAATGTGGCCAGTGTCGTGACGACAACTGTCATCATGTCAACGGAACCTGCCTTACTGGATGCAATGATGGGTGGACTAACCTCACATGTACACAAACTGTTTCATTATTATTGTGCTATCGACTTTGTGACAGTTTTGTAACAATCACATATACTGTTATGACTGTGAGTTGATCACCTGGATATTTATTCCATCATGTAAACAACAAGATGTATGTAGGACTTACTACCTTCATGTGGTACCTTGCACCCCAGATTCAGCTGGGCCTTTTTGTATTCAGGTTTGTGAGGGTCTGTAAAAAGGGTTTCGTAACCTTGATGGCATTTGGATTGTTCAGTGGGAAATATTTTTATCATTTGTCCTCATTCACTACTTCCACATTCTGATAATTGGCAGTTTGTCATTACATCCCAGAGGATAAAGCTGTTCCTGTCAGACGAGGGGGGAGCATTATTGAGTTATGCTTGTATTTGCTAACATTTTTTTAAAACTTTGTTTTCAGCTTTGTGGGTGCATGGGAATTGTAACTGTCAACACCGTCAATTCCAGATTACTTTACAGTACTCATCGACTTTTCTTGCAAAACTCGCGACATATTCATCTAATATTTGTTGTATTCATGTATTGCCAACTGAATATAGTCAACTCCCTGCTGTCTAGCGTTTCGTTCAAGTGACATTCTTCATAAGTACAGTTTACACATGGTAGCGTAATCACATGACAGATTATACTGAAGATAGATGATACTATTTCAGTATATTTTCCCTTCTGTTCTAGAGCAGGCTGAAGCCTCAACGTCCGATGTAGGTGTCGTGGCAGGCTTGGTAGTTGCCGTCATCGTTTTAGCAGTCATCGTTGCTGTTGTCGTTGTCTTACTCGGGTAAAGAAGTATGGTTATTATAATGGTTATTTGTTCGAAACTTAACCATGTTTTCTCTAAACCATGTGTGCCATTGAGGCAGTGGGGATAGCGTTTTAGTGGATTTGAAACTTGTGGCCACCTGACACTCTTCTGTAAAATGTGACACGTTACAAAGGGAACGGTGCACATACTGACATCAAAACTGGCAGAATCGGGTGTTAGGACTCTCTTAATGGTTTGTCGTGCATACGACCTCACCATCATAATTTATAATTAAAATGTATTGAGATATTTTGAATCACACTTGTTATGTTGTTAGTGATTTTATTGCTTAAAGCTGCATCTATTCACGCTGAATATTAAGCAATGTAACCCATATCAAACATCATATCAAAATCGTAGTGTTGGGTGAGGGGACTTGTAAGTTTTCTGGTTTTATATTGAGGCCAATACTTTGATGAACACCTTCTGTGATTGAGCAGTAACATCTATGGGCCTTCACGCCCGACCCATTATACTAATGAAAACCATTCTTATCCCAAGAAGACGGAGAATTCAACATTCAAAGAAAACAGATAAGCATGCAGACATGTTCCGAGAACAGACAGGTTCGTATATACGGAATGACCAGACACAACAGTGAACTGTCATAGTACAGAGGAAAGTTAACCTGTATCATCCACAGGCAATGTAATGATTTTATGACGGGCTTATTCTATTGGTTTACGGATCTGCCGATCGTAAAAATCAAGAAAGTAGAAAATGATATAATTCTCAATATCAAGTTTATTTGTTTTATTACCGCCGAATTTGCTGACGAACTTAGTATAAAATGAGTGAGTGAGTATGGTTTTACGCCGCTTTTTTGCAATATTCCAGCCATATCACGGCGGGGGACACCAGAAATGGGCTTCACCCATTGTTCCCATGTCGGGAATCGAACATGGGTCTTCGGCTTGACGAGCGAACGCTTAAACCACTGGGCTACCCGACCGCCCCTGGTATAAAATGAAAATTTCATCACTAGATATGCTGATTTACCATTTAAATTGTATTCATGTTCTGCTAGGCATTGTTTTATATGCAGAGAGGAGGATTACCGTCGGTATGTTCTAATAAACTAAGCCGGAAGTAGCTATCAGCTGTACACACATTTTCTCCCAGACCATTCCCATGTACCGGTGATTCAGTCAGGAAATACCCCCAAACATACCTTAAAAGAAGTTTGATGCAGTGATCAGAAGAAATTGTATCTGAAACTATTATTTGACCAGAAATAATAAATTTCAATGTTGTGTCATTTTAGTCGTTGCTTTTAAAAATATATTTAAAATGATAATAACATCAGTGTAGCACTTTGTTGTATTGCCGGATAGTCTTTACGTATGGGATATTTTGGCGAGTCACCGTTGGAGGGTTCACGCGGTTTGCTATTTCGATTGCGGAGACAAATATGACTTTCACCTAATATTCATTTCAAGCCAGCAATATCGGTAATCTGTAACTATCGGCAATCTGCTGGTCAGTTCACACTCGATTTCCAATAAATTAACAACAATGATTGACATTTTGAATAAAACTAATAAAATAGTAGAACACAAACATTTATATGTCAAGATATACATGAAATATTTTCATGATCAGATAGTGTAATAACATTGTGACCCAGACACGAGCAGACAATTCGATATTTTCTTCTTCCCATGTTTGAAGAAGATAAATCCTATCTGATATTGTGTGTTGCAAGTTTGGTAATTCCAGTGTCTATTCTGAAGGTGTTTGATACAGAATATTTTTTCAGCACCTTACGACCATATGTCTACACTAACAACAAAAGCAAATTTGAAAGTGTTTTTGTTTGTGGTTTTTTTTCTATTATTTTTAGAAAAAAATCCGTTAACCAACTAACAAAAGATCGATCCCTCGTGATGATTCGACTTCCTTAACCCGAGTAATATAATATATTTGCATAACTGTTTGCACTGATTGTCGTTATGTGCGTCTAATTTTGCCTCTTCTCATTTGCGCAACAGAGGACACACGAGACACGGAAGTGGACAACAACGTGTGTCCAAGTGCTGTGGAGGCGGACGGGAAGCACGACCCTGTGTGTGTCAGTGCTGTGGATGCGGACGAGAACGATGTAGAGGAGGACGACAATGACACGTACTACAACATAACAAGTGCCCCTGCAGTGACGGAGGTGTCTGTAGATCAGCTGGGGGACCGGATCAAGGAGCTGCAGGTGCCCGTTGGTGGATTCCAGGCAGAATATCAGGTATGAAAGCCAATATCAGATAATGACGTATCATTTCATCATGTTGTACACCGAGAGAATACCGGATACCTATCCACCATAGTTGTTTGCATGATGTTTAATAAGATTATACCTCCATATTGATCATCAAAGCAATTCACAGACTTAGAGAAATGGGCATCAGCCCACAGTAATATCACCAGAAAATAGAAGTTCTTTTAATGGCTTTCTTGCAACCTTATAAGTGACATCAATGAGGGCCACATTTTAGCAAACACCTTGTAGTTTTCATTAACTTTGACACATGAGTACAATGGCCTTGTTTCAAGTGTTTGAGTCGGGATCAAGCCCCCAAAGCACCTGTTATGTCAACCTAAAACCCATTACAAATTTGGTATGGAGCTCTTGCGCATTCCTTACCAAAATAATGGAAGGCCTCCGGTATTCTGATTTTTATCCCTTATTATCCTTTTACGTGTAGGTTACAAATAAATGCATTATACTTTAGTGCATGTGAAGTCTGGAGACTGTATTGAATCAATTGTTGCGACTCCGACACTATTCACTTTACATTACATTGTGCCTGTTCGAGATCAGTATACCAGTTGGTGGTTTCAATGAGCTTTTGTCTCATTCTACTTCCCAACTTTATACTTCACTAATTGTCCCTTTATCAGTATATCCTGTACTTGATACGATTTGTTACAGAAACTATCTACTACCTTCACCCGTTCTTACAACGACGCTCAGCTAGCGGAAAACAAAGGGAAAAACAGATTTGTTAATTATTACCCATGTAAGTCTTACTCTATATTCCAAAAACCTAATATAAGACATTGGTGACAAAAACTAGCTTTAGTGTGTTCCCGTAATTAATACTTGATAATAATTGATATGGAACATAGAATTGTGTTAATGGTGTGAGAGTGAAAGAGAGAATGTGAAAGAGAGAGAGTGAAAGAGGGGAGTGAAAGAGAGAGAGAGTGAGAGAGAGAGAGTAAAAGAGGGTGTAAAAGAGAGAGTAAACGAGAGTGTAAGAGAGCTGGTTTACATGTACGTATAAACCCAGCGGTCAAAACCCTTTGACATATGTTGATGTGCATAAAGCGTTGTCTATTGGTTCTCACGAGAAAAAGGTGATCTTCTCTAACTCGTGGCATGTAATCGCCCAGTTCCAGGTTGTAGACGACATCAATGTTTACTGTTTTGGGTGCTGGTGATAGATTGACCGGATAGGGGATCTTCCAAACTAACCAAGGGTTAAATGCCTCCCCTTAACGTTCTATTGTGGCATATGATGGGGCAGCCACCGCATGCCATCGTTTATCAATCTGTCACTAGAATAAAACATTTGCTGACTGTTCTATATTATTTTGTATCCATTTTAGTGTTAAGAAATACCGTACTTCAACGGCGAAGTCAATGATTAACATTGAAACACGACAATTAGCAACACCCCCGATAAACCAGGCTTGAAAGTGTCGGATATGTTTTCCACTTTTTAACCCAATATACGTGCTCACTGTCAGACTTGCATTCATAGTTATTCATGCAAGGCTCTTGGAAACACTTATGTTTAACCAAATAGACCTCTTTTGTAAATTTACAAAAGAAGAGTTTTGACATCATTTCTAAAGGGTACACGTATGTTGACACCTTCAATTAAAAGGGCATCCATCAAGGCCACAGTCCTCATGTATTAAACCTTGTTATGAAGTTGGGCTTAAACTAGTAAACACTTGTTCAGTGATTATTAAAATGCATTTCACGTATTGACAAATGCAGTGGTGACTTAAATAGTAGCACTGTAGCTGTACAAGTGGCATTTATCTATTGTTTAATATTGATCTTGGTATATCGTATTTAATTATGTGGGTGGCAACGTACATAAATACCACTTCACTTGTGTAACATTCTTGCTGTTGTGCTCCCTCACATAACAAAACGTCTTTGTTCATGGCCATGCCTTCTGTGTTACAGTTGATGACACCCGGGTCGTGTTGCAGGAGCTGCCAGACCGGCCTGGTTCTGATTACATAAATGCCAGCTACATCGATGTTAGTAGGATAAGGATTTACTTTCGAATTATTTTTTTGTATTACTATTGGTGATATTGCTCCCCGTTAAGTGCTACGTGAAACTATTCTAGATCTGATATTGTTTCAGGGGTACTTGCAACCTAAAGCCTACATAGCAGCACAAGGTATGTCTTCTTCTTTAATGAGTTGTCTGTTTCCAGAAATAAAATCTCACTCAATTTATAAGTAAAAATATTTCATCTGTAGATAGAAATTGAGTTTACTAATGTTCGATAATGTCATGTTATCACATATATATATATACTGAACAACAAAAGTTCTAGTGACATTGAATAAGATTTAATTCAAAGTTATGTTTTTCACCAAATCTGAAACAATTTCGGTTTGCAACAGATAAAAGACTCGTGTAAGTGTTCAAATGGTTAAATGTGCAATACTGACTTCAGAAAATGCTTGATTTCATAAAAAAAAAACATGAACATGCCAAAATGTCAATTTACAAATCACTAGCGTGTGTGTCCACCTCTGGTTGCGATGCAAGCAACACATCTTCGTCTCATGGAATGGACCAGGCGTTGGGATATATCTGTTCATATCTGCTGGAGCATGTTTCGAAGTTCCTGGAGTGTCTTTGGAACACGTGGTTGACGTCGAAGGCGCCGGTCCATCTCATCCCACATGTGCTCGATTGGTGAGAGATCAGGAGAGCGAGCCGGCCAGGGGATGACATTCACGTTGTTTTGTTGAAGAGAATCCTGAACAAGTCAAGCAATATGAGGCGGGGCGTTGTCATGTTGAAAGGTAATGCCTGGGCCATTATGACGCAAAAACGGTAGAACCACAGGACCGATGATCTCGTCGCGGTAGCGCTGTCCATTGAGATTTCTCTCTACCACTATCAAACGGGTCCTCTGCCTTGCTGTAATCCGACCCCATACAATAACGCTGCCGCCCCGAACCGATCTTCTTCCATGACACAATGATTGACGAAACGTTCACCTCGACGTCGGTACACTCGAATCCGTCCATCGCTGCGGCTGAGACGAGACTCGTCAGTGAATAGAACTTGCATATTTTTCTGCAGCAGATGCGTTTTTGTTACTTGATTCCATACATGTACTACAATATTGAAAACCAAGCTTTACTTGTTTGAAAAATACACTAAATTATTGGTGTTACAGAAACTTTTGTTGTTGAGTATATATATACAAGATAGGTCGGTGATAAGAACGATAATGGAAATAAATGAAAGTAAGAAATGGTCATATTATTCAAATGTGATGATTTTTTATGGCCGGTTAGTCATTTCAAATGAACAGCAACATCACGCAGATGTCGTACACATATGTGTGTATTTGGTAGTACCTGATAACTCTTCTGATATTCAATCACTGGCTAAGTAGTGGCATATTTATATGGTTCATTCAAGAGATTAGACTAAATTTGAAGAAATATTTTGTCACACCAAATGTGCATTCACTGTGCAGGTCCTCATAAGAAAACCCTGACTGACTTCTGGAGGCTGCTCTGGGAAAAGAACTGTACCAGAATCATCATGCTGACTAATCTCATGGAGATGGGGAGTGTCAGTATTTCATTGATGACCTCATTGTTAGTGTAAACATATCCTTCATGCCAATGGTAAATTTAAGTTAGGTCATAATAGTTAACAGTGTTCAACAATAAAACAGGACTTTACTCTCCTACTTTTTAAACTAAATTCATGAATGAATCCTAAGCTTGAATTTTGTGGTATTCGTACATACCTTAGGTTCACCGGAATAGGTGTCATCTGGTAATTATAACGAACACTGCATATTGTAACAACATGTGAAAACTAATATCAGGTGAAGTGTGAAACGTACTGGTCGGACGAAACAGATTTGACCGTGGGGGACTTCAACATTGTTGTGACCAGTTCAAGTGAGCGAGCACATTGGGTTGTGCGAGAACTACAAGTGACAGAGAAAAAGGCAAATATGTACCCACTTTTCTTCGCATATATTTATAAAGGCTAGAGGCTACACGACCAACATATTGTGTTCAGGACTATTTACAGTACTGACAATGATACTTAACGGTTAGTAGGAAATTCCATTTTCACTATGTCTCTATCTAAATAACTGGATCTCAAATGATATTAACATTATGTTATGTGCTTTAGACACGCACTTGTCGCTACTTCCATCAATTTCACTTCACAACATGGCCTGATCATGGAACACCCGAGGAGATGGCCTTGACTGAATTTCTGTGGCTGGTCAGGACGACACCTAACACTCAGGATGACCCTCTGCTGGTGCACTGCAGGTAGGTAAATTAGCACACCGATTTGTCGTTTCCGAGTGCACAATTATAAGGCGGTATTATCTATTTACACACCTTTTATCTGTCTTTTCTTGGTTGGTAATAATCATCATATTTGCTATTATAATCAAACATGTTTCTCTTGAACTGTGTACAATTGATGTCATTAACAAAAAGAAAAATTATAACCCCAGTGCTGGGGTCGGCCGAACAGGAACCTACATTGCTGTGGACTACCTGCTGGACCAGGCTCTGGCTGATCAGAATGTGGATGTGTTTGGTTGTGTCACAAAGATGAGAAACCAGAGGAAGGGCATGATACAGACCAAGGTGAGACGTTTCATCTCAATGTACTGTCTTAAATTGTGTATAATCACAAATCTATCATTATGTCTTAGCCTTATCTCTTCCGTTAACTGTTATGTTTCTGCTTCTGTCAGCACCATACCCGTGCTCGTGGGTTTCACCGAAGTGGTAATCGTCTGAGACAGACATGACTTCGCGCTTTCTTCCCACATTAAGCTGACACGCCACGATATACCTGGAACACTGTTAAATGCGGCGTTAAACCCAACTCACTCACTCACTCTTCCGTTAACTCATGAATGTCAACGGTCATTTCAACATTACTGCAGGAACAGTACACATGTGTTTACGTGACATTGCAAGAGGCTCTGGAGTTTGGAAACACAGGCATGGAAGTACAGGAGTTCAATCAGAATCGAAATAGGAAGAGGACGTTCAAGATGGGACACATGGAACTCACACAGTTAATAAAGGTAAAGGCAAAAACACTGAGATAACAAACTACTGGTAAATTCCTGATGGGCTATGATATTGATATATTTCTTGTTCCATGTGATAATTACTGATGTTTTACTCAAAATGTTTTAGATCCTGAATATCAAAAGAGAGATTTCAAAACAAGGTAAGTGAATGTCGCATTGTAAGTGCATAATACATAGTAAAACATGTTTGCTATTCTATCAAATACCAACTATACAATAAATGATCATGAGAAATTGAGATTTTGGTGAATAAAACTATTGTTTCAGAGGCCATGGTCAGGGGTCGTGTGTACGTTAATGGGCGCTCAGACATCTTGGCTCAACAGTCACAGGTAAGCATTTTATTTGTGTATAACTCTTAAATTAGAACTCAGACACATTAGGTATGCTATTCAACGATATTTGTTTTCAGCAACGTATGTCACAACCACACTGATTTAACTTTTGTCTGCCACGACCTCAACAAACACTGGGGCTATGCCAGTTCGCCCTGGATGAGATACCTGTATACCTGAACCCGCAGGATTGCTTTGCAACTGTAATAAGTACATTTGCTAGCCAATAATATCATGGAAAGGTGTAAGGAGGTCCTTTGACAACCATGGCCCCTGACTGCAGAGCTGTTAGTGAAAGATCTTTAATGCAAATCATCATTCAAAGGTCATTTCCATTTGCTTAAGAACGTCACAAACGATTATTGCAGCTGGTATTACTTGTGATTCATAAGCACATATTTAGCACGTACAGTTGCACTCGCGACTCTCTTGTGATAGAGATTATTAAAATGAATGTTGACCTTTGAATAGTGCAATAGATCCAATAATATAATAGTCCAACTTTACCTAAATGGATCGCAATTATTTCCCGTTTCTTGTTTCATGCCGTACACATAAACATTCCAGTTACATGACGGCGTTCTGTAATTAGTCGGTTCTGGGCCAAATATCCAGTGGATTGACATTATGAATATGGTTTCGCACAAATCAACATGTCACCCAGTCTGATCATCGAATCCATTTAGTCGCCTCTTACGACACACATACATGCAGGTTTCTGGGAACCCATATTCTTACCCGGATTCTCCACGGGTCTGTGGAGGAATGTTGAAAGTGTTAGATTACGATTGTCTATTTAGAGTATTCCTCCTTCAGTCCCACCTGTCAATGAAGGGCTATCTGTTGACTGAAGCTCCCTCCGTCACCACGGCGTCTCTGTTCTGGCAACTCACAGACCAACAGGAGTCCTCTACTATCATTGTCCTGCCAGACTCGCACCAGGTGAGCATATGTCTTTACTATCTCACTCCAGTTACAACACCGCTATCAGCATGGTTTAATTCAACCAATAACGTTACTTTCAGAGGCTGTCAAGCTTTGTGCCATCCCCAGGAGACAGCCTGGATCTGAGTCCAATCAGCGTGAGATGTTCAACAGAGAAAACCATCAACCCTGACCTCGTCCTCCGGAACATCCTCAGACAGACGGACGTATGCCTTTACTTGCTGTTCATATGTTGGGAATTGATTTCATTATCTTTGTACGTCAAACGTATTAAAATAAAAACCAGAGTGCATGCTGTGTAAATCCACGTCAAACATAGTGGAGTCATTTCTAATAAATACGTCGACAATGATGACTGCTATTTAATCATAAACACACACAAAACATATATACGAAATTAGTGACACGGATCAGAGCAATAATGCAAAACAAGCCCCGCCCATTCTATTATCAACCAATCAAGAAACAGGTTGCTGGGTTTTCTTTCGGTTTGTGGAAACATAAACGCTGAAATAGCTGCTTGGTTAGCCATGAAATAAAATCAAATACCTCGACATCAACTGAAATTTATCTATTATTTTTCTATCAACATCATGGCTTGTCTTTACGTATGGCTACCGTGAACTTTAGAAACCCTGATATGCAATAGATGGATCTTCAAAAAATATTAGCTGGTATCAATAATCCTTAGTAAACATCTGTTTTTTTCAGCTATCGACACTGAGAATCGTATGTTTGATAAATAGGTCACATTACTAGTATTATATGTCATATAGATTTCAGTAAAATTGATGTATACAACAGTATGTAATTCTCTAAACTCACTGTTGATCAGAACCTTCCACCAGCTGCAGTAGGTGTGTACATCATAAAAAGGTTTCCAGCAGACTCCCACTCCACGCTGTTAGAACTCCTGGAACACGTAGATCTTCACACGAGTGGGGATGACTCCCAACCAGTTACTATCATCTACAGGTATACGTAAGGTCTTTATGAGCTGATAAGATTTCATCTAAAACCTCTCATCTACCTTTTTGTCGTCCATGGGAGCCATTAGCCACAGCGAGTTCTTTTTTAACCCCAGATATGGCTTGTAATGGGATGTCAGTGACCCCTCGCAATTGTTCCATTCTATCATTTGGTGATTGGATAACTAAGGGGCTGTTGAGATCATATCATGCATAGTTGTCCACAGGAACTTTCCTCACAAGGAAAGTCTGGTGATGAACTTGGGGTGTGATGAATCCGACATAATTCAGAAACTGTTTATAACTAATATAAAGCTACATGAATTTATATATATATATATATATATATATATATATATATATATATATATATATATATATATATATATATAATTAATATATTAATTATTTAATTATTACTCCACTTATTATTACTCCACTTATTAAATTATTACTATATTGTGCCTGAGAGTTAGAACTTTACTGTGCTTATATATATATATATATATATATATATATATATATATATATATATATATAATGTTTTGTTGAAGTGATTCTGGTAGAAAGAGAGGTGCCTTGCTGTGCATCTTGAGCAATATTGTTCAAGGCCTCAAGCATGACAAAAGAATCGAGATCTACAACAACATGAGAGCTATGGCCCACTGCATGGATCAGGATATAACACAGGTATATTCACCATGTTGTGGCAGTGCTAGTATTTGGTATAATAATTATACTCTTCAGCCCTCTTGAAGTGCTGGGCTGTATTCCTATTCAAAATCAAGATAAACTAACTGTGTCTCCAATTTAGGGATATCTGATGTCGACTCAAAACCTCTAAGGAATCTTTCCAAATTAAGCAGTTGTTTTATAATTAGACAAAAATAGTTAGGAATGTTATATAAATGCAAGTTATTGGTGATAATTTGGCACGGGTTAAGACCTAAAAGTAATGAATTTTAGGATGAAAATTAAAGGCGAATTTGATTTTTAAAGGTATATTTCATTAACGGTCATTGGTGTGAGATACATGTACCCAAATCAGTACAGGACGCTCAATTTGACATTACGTTCCTTTGGCCGGTTTCATGTCCAAATCTATCTCCCTTGTACTTTGAATACTCTATTAAGCGCAGAGCAACCTCAAAATGTCTTACATGAGGAACTGAATAGTTTGATATGACATATAATCTAATCTAAAGTAGTGATAATCGAAATATCTTGAAAATTGTCATTGTCATTTTTATCTACATATTGAACGTGCATACGATAGGTTCATCGGTGACAGTTACCTGTAGTATAATGAAACATCAGTAAGTCAGTCTGAGTTAAGGTTGACATCACGGTGATCTCTTCTTGCTTTCTGCCTTTAACTGTTGGCTTACGTACTCACCATAAAACTGTTGATACTACACATATTATCAGCATTAATTAATAGTAAACCTAAGCTTTTGAATTTCTTAGTTGCATGTATCATGGCATCAATACTCATTACCAGTCAAAGGTGTGTCAACTTAGAAGCGAAAACCGTAAAACTATCAAAAGAACAAACGAATAGACATAATGGCAAACAGAATAATAATGTTCACGTTTAACAATATTAAAAACATGATGATGTCTCTAGAAACCTTTTCTTTCCACAGGCAGACGTTGCTCTGTGTTACGATGTCGCTTCGGCGTGCATGGAGTCGCAGAGCATCTACGAAAACCTCTAACATGCATCAATACTGATGCATGAACAGACAAAACTCCAGTCTCCACCTTACAGATCTGACTTGATTGCACCAACAACTGCTTTCGTAATGAATATATATTTGTGGGCTTCACATGTATTTCCTCCCTTAGCAATTCTGTAATATTTTTAATAATAATTGTCATATAATTAAATTAACGTTTGCTTCTGACTCGTTAATTCTCCAGTTGACATTAGAGGGAAACGTAAAATGTAGGTATTGATTCTTTATGTTTGAGTGAGTGAGTGAGTGAGTGAGTGAGTTTGGTTTAACGACGCTTTTAGCAATATTCTAGCAATATCACGATGGGGGACACTAGAAATGGGCTTCACACATTGTACCCATGTCGGGAATCGAACCCGAGTCTTCGGCGTGACGAGCAAACGCTTTAACCACAAGGCTACCCGACCGCCCCTCTTTATGTTTGAACTTGCATCATATGTAAGTAGACCCGTTTGGTTATTTTGTGAAGAAGAATGCTCTACTGGTGACATACGTGTTCAAGGTCCGAGCAACTATTATAATTGCTGGCTAAAACTCTGTGAATACCTGGAGCACCCTAGAAATGTCTAATAAATGTCAAATAGTGTCAAATTGCTGCAACTAAGACATCGATCACCCGAGAGACACCGTTCATTGCAACAATAGGTTTTTTGTTATTTTTGTTTCGCTTTGTTTATTTTAATACATGCAGTGCATCGCTGCTCATCTTTAACTTACTTTTACTTTTATAAATATGTATGCAACAGGGATACTCACACACGCTCAGATCGCTAATTTCCATTTTCTTGTTATTTTTTTATTGAAGTTTGAAACAAGTGTATGTTGAAAACATTATTTGCACAACCAAACATAACTACACCAAAGGAAGAATTGAATAATGTCAAATATACTCGTATCCATTCTATTTACGCATCACTCTTCACTCACATTACCCAACTTCGATTTCCGAATTGTTTTTTTCACACTCTGCAACATTTGACAATTTAGCAGGTTGATTAGGTACAGAGTCAAATAGTTATCACAACATGATAATGTAACAGTAGAAATTCAAGAAATGCAAGTACGACTTACGCTTTGCTATGTTGGTTGAATTCTCTGAATATATGTTTTTGACATTTTGGTAGTGTTATGATTGTGCACCTGTACCAATGGCTCACATTTCGACTTGCATGAACGAACATGCCAAACATAAAATCTTTGACCGGCATTTAGAAGTGATACACATAAGGAAGAGAATTTATGGATGTCAACTTCTTTATAGTGAGGAACACAATGTTTCGAAGTATATATGCTTACTCCTTCATCAGATGAATGAATGCTTACTTACTTACTTACTTACTTTGGAGATTTAACGTGCGCTTTCCGACTGATGCGTATTTCGCACACGGGCCCGGCCAGGCCATTTAATGTGTTTCCGAAAGGGGCGAAGGTGGTCTGTGCAACCCAAGAGGGGGGTTTTAGGGGTTGCTTATATAGAATTTGGGAATTTTGAGATTTGGAATAGATGCCGATGGGATTGGGGAGGAGAACTAAGGGAGCTGGTATTGTGGATGTTTGTTTGTTTATGTGATTTTGATTTGGTAGGTTATTGTGTTTTTAGATGCGTTTTATTAGTTCCGTTTTTATTAAGAATACGCCTAAGGCCTTGAAGTTTTCTAGTTTATTTTGTGGGTTTAGTATTGCTTCTAGAGTTAGAGCCTTGTTTAGATTGAGGGTGGTTTGTAATGCGGTTCGATGTGTTAGGTAGTGTGTGCAGTGGATGAGTGCGTGTTCTGGGGTTTCTGGTTGTTTGCAGTGTGGGCAGTTACCTGTAGTGTGTTTTTTAAATTTTTTTAGGTGGTTATTTAGGTTGGTGTGTCCTGTTTGGAGTTTAGTGATTACTCTGTCGATTTTTTTGGATGGATGGAGAATTTTTGGTTTGGTTAGTGGTTTGCTGAGCACTTTTTTTATTTGGCTATTTGAGTTTAGATATAGGTTATGCCATTTTTGTGATTTTTTGCTTGTTTACACTTTTAATTTCTGATTTTGAGATGGGTAAGTTTAAGCTTATTTCTGGGATTTTGAGGGATAGTTTAGCTTCTTTATCGGCGTTTTCATTACCGTATATTCCTACGTGGGCGGGTATCCACAAGAAGGTTATTTGTTTGCCTGCCTTAGTTAGGTCGTTGGAGCTTTTAAGTATTTGATTTATTAATTTAGGTCGGTTTTTGGTATTTTTGTTTTGGAGGGCTTGCAGTCCACTTAGGGAGTCGGTAAGTATTAGGATTTTTTTGAGGTTTTTGGATTCTTGATTATGGAGGGCTGAGGCCATGCCCATTAGTTCTGCCGTGAATATTGATTGGTTGTTTGGGAGTCGGAAGGATTGTGTGGTTTTAGTTGGTTGTGTGGTATGGACTCCGAAACCTGTGTGTTTGGAGGTCGGATCTGAGGATCCGTCCGTGTAAATGTGACACCAATTTGGCCAATTTTCGTGTATGTATGCTAGTGTGGTAGTTTTAGCTATGTTTGGGTCGGTTTGTTTATTTATTTGGCTAGCTAGTGTTGTGTCTATTTTGGGTATTTTAAGTTTAGGGGTAAAGATATTTGATTGTTTGCAGTTTTGTTTAAGATTTTTAATTTGGTGTTCATTTAGGTAGTTTGTTATTCTTTGGGATATTGGGGTAAGTAAGGGGTGTTTACGAGCTAGAGCTTGGTTTTTGGGGCTGATGTTTTGGTTTATTAAGTTTTGGATGAGAGGGTTTGATTGGGACGCGGCCCAGAAATTTAAGCTTAGCTGTTCCCTGCGTAGACTTAGTGGCATTTCTCCTGTTAAGGCCTGAAGAGAGGTGTAGGAGGTGCCATGTTGGGTGCGTGTAATTAGTTTGAGAGCCTGATATTGTATTGAGTCAAGTTTTTTAGATAGAGAGTTGTTTAGGGTGTTGTATATGGCGCAGCCGTAGTCTAGTTTTGATCTAATTAGTGATATGTAGAGAGAGAGGAGGGTATCTTTGGATGCTCCCCAGTTGGAGCCAGTTAGGCATCTTAGGGTGTTTAGGTCTTTACTGCATTTAGTTGTTAGGTTTTGGATGTGAGCATCCCAGGTGAGATGTTCATCGAAAATAAGTCCTAAGAATTTGGTTTGTTTATGAAATTTGATTGTTTGATTGTTTAGCTGGAGGATTGAGGAGGCGGGTTTCATGTTTTTATGTTTGAATACTATTCCTGTTGTTTTTTCTGAGTTAAGGGAGAAGCCCCATTTGTCAGCCCATTGTTGTATTTTATTAAGAGATTTTTGGAGTAAATTTTGGACCATGTTCATGCTTTTAGTGCGGATCCAGATGGCTCCATCATCCGCGAATTTTGATGTGTTTACTTTAGGGGATAGGCCCTCGAATAGATCGTTTATCATTGTATTGAAGAGGGTGGGGCTGAGGATACTGCCCTGTGGAGTACCATTTTCTAGGGGACATTGGTCCGATAGAGTTTGGTCTATACCCACGGTTATTTTACGATTGTTTAGGAAGTCCTGGATGTAGTTTATTATCTGACCTTTGAGTCCTATTTTTTTAAGTTTTTGTATTAGCCCATCGTGCCATACCATGTCGAAAGCTTTAGAGAAGTCTAAGAAGATGCCTGTGGTATATTGTTTATTTAGCTGTCCTGTCTTAATATCTTGTTCTAGTCGGGCGAGGTTATCTAGGGTTGAGCGGCCAGGAGTGAAACCGCTTTGATCTGGGTTTATGATGTTATTTTTGGTTAAGTAATGTTGTAATCTATTTTTAGCCATTGATTCCATTACTTAAGTTTGAAGTTAGGGATATTGGTCTATATGAGTTAGCTTGAATAGCTGGTTTATTAGGTTTAGGGATTGGTATGACTAGGGCCTGTTTCCAGGGAGTAGGAACCTGTCCGTTTAGGTAGATGAGATTGTATAGTTTGAGTAGTGCCTGGAGTAGTTTTAGGGGGAGTTTTTTAATTATTTGGTAAGAAGTTAGGTCTAATCCTAATGAATGCTTTGACACAGAGAGCATATATATGTGCACGGAAGAACAACAAAAGCAATAAGGTAACAAAAGGTGGAAACTTAACGAGGGAAGCCAATAGATATTTGGTGCTGATAGGTGATTAGCAATGGACAATGGAAGCCAACACTTAACAATAATTAGCGCCAGGACTAAATTATCACTGATTGGTAATTGGCAATGGACAATGGGCAAACGGGAGCATATACTCCGAAACGTTGTGTTCCGCATAATAAAGAAGCTGACATCCATAAATTTTCTTCCTTTTCTTTAGAATAGCATACAACGATGTGAGTAACGTATGTTACAAAATTTAAATTCATCATATAATTCAAATTGTCAAAATATAAAGACGTATGTTTTCGTTGTTCATATAGTGATTACCTTCTCAATGAAGCTGTTAACTATTAAATTGCTTCCTGTGTTTCAATAATCTTTTTTTTACTAATTCTTGTCATAATGCTGAATAAATTTATTTCTTAAGATCGCTTGTTACGTATTGTTTACAACCCACGACGACTTATATAGTGTTGGACTTATATTTAAACAAAAGACACGTATGCAATGTCAGACCATTGAGTAAGGTGACAAAATTGCAAACAGTTTATGGTTAATCGTCCGGATAAAGAAGGTATTAATGGCCGTTTTTGCATAGGAAGGATGGTGGTTGGAGGTGGGTGAATGTTCACGATGATACTGCAGAATGTGCAGGAATTAACGCCAACTTTCCAATCGGAATCACACCTTATGTCAAGGGACTGGTAACTGATTTATTCTCAAGAATATACCGATCCAAACCTTCAAACCGATATTAACTTTATCAGGATCATTTTACATCTTCTATTTTGTATGAGTTTATGCATGTGACGGTTGCCACTGGTCGGTCAGGATAGGTTCAACTTTTTTGCGAACTGGTATCATCACTATTTGAAAGTGATCCATAAACACATGCTCATGATCATGATATAGTTGGAATCGGACAGTCGACTCTGTGTGGCAGAGATACCTTTTTAATATGGAAAGGGTCGTGTCGCTTTTTTTGGATAGTTATCTCAATGTTCCTTATCTTCAGCTATTGAAAAGTAAGTTCATTAGGTTTGATGTAATAATGTTTATGAATAAGCTGTTTCCTCTATTTTTCAAAAGAAGGACACACAAAGAAATAGTGAAATGCGTCACATTCGTCATACAATTGGCAGCTGGCCATTTCCTGTATTTAATTAAATTATTTTCCTTTATTTTGCTCCATCTGCCTGTTGCAAATGGGAAATTGTGATTGGACGTTCTAAACTTAAGTAAAG